CCTAGTCACAGCCTAGTTAGCTAGATAAGTCGATTGTGTGAACCGAGTGTTTTAAGGATATGGCCTACCCCTATCAGTTCAGCAGACACGTGTTGAGTCACTATGATACCTCCAAGCAAAGTCTCTCTAACTTTAGCTACTACCCCAAACAAGATGAACAACTGCCTGCACGTTTTACGTACATGTTCTACGTCAACAGTAAAGTACTTCAGTTGCCGAAAGACCTCAAAAGTGATTTACACTGTGGATTACAGAAATGTTATAATGGAACACGATCTATACTTTGTGGGTCCGACGATTTGGTTACTATGAAGTCAAGAACCCAGCAGTGCCAGACTTGACCCAGCTTCAAAGGAGACTTTAATTTACAGACAACCCGTGTAATTTACAGTTACGGTATTTTATAAAATTGTATCTGATGATTATAAAAACCATCTTTGATCTTCATTAGGGAAGATTGTAAATCTTCAATAGCCAAATCTAAAACTATAACTTCTGCCAACATGAAATCAATTGTAATGAAGGAATAAATTACACTACACTTCAAAGTAGAAAAACAGATTAAGACCAAAAAAAGCAGGATAGAAAACTAATGTAAAATCTCTTGGACTCAAAATTCATGTTTCATATTGTTAAATTTGTAAATAACAAAATTGTCGCCACACTATATATTGTTTTACAAACTTTCCTGGGGTTTCATTACATACAACCAGTGGCGTTGCTTGGTCAATTCCAGGGGGGGGGGGGGGGGAGAAGCCTCAAATTTCCCAACTCCTTAACATAGATTTCCCAACTATTTCTTATTTTGAGGAATCAATTAAGTACTTTTTTAAAAAATCTACAAATTATTATACTACACTGCAGTCACACTCAATTCAGTATTTAATAACTTGTATTAACAAAACATAGCTACCGTAGTTTTACATAGGTAGCTATAGGCCTTTACAAAATTACTCAATTCAAAAAACGTCCAAAACTTCTGCCAATTCATAATGAAATGTTATGTCTTCAAAAAACTTGAATAAGTATCGTTTCAAATCCAAAAAACTTTTCAAACCATTGTGGTAGCAGACGGAGCAGTATAAAATTTTAGGGATACAAAATAAGCCAAGTAGCCTACACTACAAATTAGTAGCCTATAGACAAAAATATTTTATTACAAAATAATGAAATTAAAATACTTTTAGAAGCTGATATTAAGATTAACATGTTAACTTTCATAAAACTTACAAGTAGGCCTAAACAAGTTTTTAATGATGAAATATTAATATTAATGTTGTGAATAATATTACTGCAGTCTAGTCTAGAAAAGAATAAACCTAAAGACTGGTATAAAATAAAACTTTCAAATTGATTACGGTAATAAACATTGGCCCTATAACTTACATACAATAAAAATGTTAACCTTCATCGGTTTCATCAAACTAGAAAAATCATACATAGACGTGAAAGTCAAACATAAAATCTTAGGTTATGTTTTGTCCACGTAGATCTGTTTCAGAGTGACTAGGCCTAGTTGATTCATTTTTGTAAATTCTTAATTAGGAATGATAAATAACTTATGTAGATTTTTTAAATATAGGTACGGTATTCATATAATAAATATTTCATTTAGGTTATTTAGTTAATAAGAGTTTTTTAAGTTAATACCAATACACAAAACCTATCTTTAATGTTAAGAATCTACGTATTAGCAAGTATATTGGAGTCTGATGATGTCATAGGTTTGGTTGCAATCACAGTAGACTATGATTAGCCAATAAATGTTTCTTCCATTACTACAGGAAGTATTCACAATTTTCCGCGATCATGGAATACGATGTTGACGCGCCAGTGCCTCGGGAGATGCCGTGCCAAACTAAAGTGCAAGTTTTGGCAGCAATACATGTGATAAGTTAAAGATTATTGGGAGGGGGCCCGGCAAACAAACTTGTGGGGAGGGCCCGCGGGCTCTTATCGCCACCACTGCCTAGGATACTTAGGCCTAACTTGAATGATCAACAGCTCATGAACTTAGAACTTACCACATTCCTTTTGTAAGTTAAAACTCTGCACCACCATAAATTCAAGTCCCTTTTTTTCTTTATCGGTATCACTTGTCAAATTAACCAAGACAAAAATATGGTAGGCCTACCATACACTTTTAATTTCTTAAACAGATATGTTAAATGAGTTCCTTGACATGTCTTAAATTAGGCTAGCCTACCACTAAGTTACACAAGCTTGAGATGATTATTCAAAATGATTGTTTTCGTCCACAGAATGATGTTGAGTATTGATGGGTATTGACTGAGGATGAGAAGAGACGGAACGATTATCATCACTATTATTTGCCGAGTTTATTAAATTCAAAAAGGATGTCAGCAACCTTTGGTTCAGGTGATCTGTTTGAGTAATTTCTCTCTTAACCTCGTTGTCCTTTTCAGGTAGCACAGATCCATTAATTTCAGGCATCACTGGAAAGAAATATAGGAAATTCCGTATCACACAATTAATCACAATATAGGAAAAGTTAAGTTAGAAGTTAGAATAATGAAAATACAAAATTAAACATTTACATAAAATATAACCTAATTTAATTAAGAGTTAGTTTCGTTCACTTCCTTCTTCTTCTTTTCTAGTTTGCTTTAAAAAGCTGGCTTGGCTGAACTACCATGTAGCTACACTATTGCACCTTAAAGCACTAACAAAACTGACGTCACAATCTAGGGGGTAAAATTCTGGCCGCGAACTGTTTGAGTGGCACATCAGTTCAAAAAATTAAAGGTGGAATTAACGTATATTTTCACGGTTGTGAATTAAATCAGCACACATCAAACTATAAAACCTAGATATAAAGGAGAAGCATTGGCACTAATAAAAAACTATCTTGACCATAGGTACCAATATGTTGAAACCGATCAGCAAGTGAACAACATTATTATAACAACCAAATCACCACTTAAACAGAATACAAAAGGCATTCCTCAAGGCTCCATACTTGGCCCACTTTTCTTCCTGATATATATAAATGATGTACCGGAAAAATTATCAAAAGAATTCAAATGTATTCTATTTGCAGATGATACCACCATAATAATACCTACAGATAGAAATAAAAATAACCAACAACTCATAACCACAGCAGTAGAACAAGCAACAACAATATGCAACAACCTAAATTTAAAACTTAATACCAGTAAAACTACACACATCAATTTCAAACCAAGCAACAACCTAGAAGATCAAAGCGACTGGACCAACATCAGTATCACAACGCAAGAAACCACTAAATTCCTGGGAATAATTGTTGATAAAAATTTATCCTGGCAGCAACACATCGAACATCTGTGTAAAAAACTGGCCTCTGCACACTATGGCATCAAACGAATTCGCACCATAACCGACGAAGAAACCTCCAGAATAGCCTACTTCTCGCTTTTTGCTTCTCACCTGAGTTACGGAATTGCAACATGGGGATCATCATCTGCAAACAATATGGACAAACTACTTATCCTACAAAAGAAAGTACTAAGGACGATATGCAGGACACACTATCTGGAACATTGTAGACCCCTATTCATCCAGCTCAAAATCCCCACCGTTTTCTCACAATACATCCTAGAAACCATAATCCTTGCAAAAAAATCCAATCCAACACTCCGGTCACATTATCATAATCACAACACCAGACACAAAAACAATATAAACCTGCCACAACACAGACTAAAAAAATTCAGCAACACCCCAACATACACAGGATCCAAATACATAAATCTTCTGCCAGAAAAAATTAAAAACATCTCAAATCATACCACATTTGTAAAGACACTAAAAAACTACCTTATAAACAAACCATATTACTCAACAAAGGAATACATACAAGAACACACTTATACACACCTACTAACACTGGGCTAGCTGAAAGGCTGCCAAGAAGATGAAGAAGGAGAAATTTTGACGACTCCCCGATCTGAGGATTGTGGTGAAGAAAGAAGAGGTAAAAGGTAAAAAAGGTAAAAGGTGATTGTACGAGCCGGAATTTTACCCCGGACTTTTACCCCATTCATGAGGTAGATCAAAATGTTCGGCCCGGATTTTTACCCCCGGAATTATACCCCTAGCCAGATATAGAAATTATTAGTATCTTTAAAAAGTAGATCAATGTTTTCATAGTTGTTATAATAAAATTTATCTGATTATTTTATTAAGTTGTTTCATAGTACTTGTTATCTGAGAGTAAAATCATGCATTAAATATACTTCTAAGGGGTCACCCAATTACTACATAAAACGTTCAGAGGGGAGGGGTTCGGCTTAGCATTACCATGGATAAAACAAGTTACGTGTTGGTCAGTCTATGGCTTTAGGCAGCATTATATTGAGGAGGGGGCAGGGGGTTTCTAAGATCGTTACGGTAACGTACTAAAAGACTTATTTTCAAAAATACCAAAATTTTCAAATTTCTTAATAAACAGTCACATTTAAGACAAGGGGGCTTAAATATAACTGAAAGCACGTTACGTATTATATGGCAAAAGTAGGCAAAAAAACCTTCCCACGATCAATAAATTAATTACTCTCAGACTATACTAGTACTTGAGCTGTGGCAGGTAGGGGTGATTATGGTAGGTTTGAATGACTAGCAGGTTCTCCTATATTATCAATACTATCAACATAATCTTATTTATTATATTTTTTTAGAATTCACGCCTTTACATTATCCATCCTCAATCCCCTTCAATTTGGTCTATTAACAATCATCTTGATTATTAAGTTACATTTTACATTTACTTACACCGTATATACAGAATAAAAACATAGATAAAGCAGTCCTTATAATTTTTATGAGGAGTATGTTTTATCTATGTTAAAAAAGAAATTTTCTTTATAACCAATGGCTAGTCTATTGACACTGTCGACACTTTATTACTCTATACAAATACGGAAAACAGCTGAAAAGATACCAAACCTCGGAAACATCTGTGTAGCAGAAGCTAAACCTACTAAACCATTTTATTATTTTATCTAAATTCTAAAGTCAAGACTAACCTATATTCTTGTTTGGTGGTTTGGCCTTTGCCAAAGAGTGTGTGACCTAACAAATTCTCGAATGCCTATTTAGATTTAAATACGTTTACATATATTGGTTTCAAATTAAATAGGGTAAACACGGTATATTGTAACATTCAAAACCAGTTTGAAAAAGATGGCAAAAAGTATTTCCTTATTTTTATCTAGATCATTAATGGTAGGTAGGCTAGTGTAATTAGTAGATCTTACTTTTGGCAATAATTTATTCATGCTGGTCTTAACAACAAAATATATTAGACTTAATTGCACAAATTTCAGTTAAATCAGTTTAGCCCTACATTAATTTTGCCCTAATAGTTTCCATGTATTGTTCAGTGTCTTGCAGATATATGCTAGAGCCTAATTTAGATAAGCAGATTCAATTTGTTTTGGGCAGAACATTGATAGGACCTATCCGACTCCACTTGTTAAATCGATTGTAAATTGTAAAAACCATGTTTTCCTTGTTTTAAAAGTAGTTATACTAAAACAAGTGTGCAGGAATGGAAGTAATGTTTGCATATATTTTTGTATTTTCAGACAGTGAAGCCTCATGTGCCGATGATCAAATTCAGAAAAGGAGGGTCTCCACAGAAACACGCAGAGGGTAAAGAATTTACAGATTACGTCAATCTAAATTTCATTGACTATGTTTTTGTCACTGTGCAACAACAAGCAATTAGTTGGGGAGAGGATACCAATCTTAGAAATGTAGAATCTGTGTTTCTACATAGGGTATCATTTTGTACAACTAGGGGATAATGTTGTTTGTGTCTGAACCTAAAAGTCCCACCTATGTGATTTCTTGGCCATTTAGAGCATTCAGGAGATCATATTTAGAGATGTAGACTTTAAAGATAATATAAAATATCTGCAGTTGCTTCAATGGTTTAGCACCTTGAATTTAGTCTTGAGCAAAAGAATCCTTTTTACCTGAATTGTATTTTACTTCTTAAAAGCTTGAGCTCAAACGACACGAGCACTCTTGCCAATTAGCCTCCCAATTTAATACAATACAGTAGCAAAAGATTTTATTTAAGTCAGCAGTATTTACTGTAGCAGGTCACAGTTCGAGTCCTCCAGTGGTGCACGCTGCTCCCCAATCCAAGGCTGCGTCAGGTCGTGTGGTGTCTCGTCCAATCATCGAGGACTACCAACTACCTGCTAGATATCGCAGACACGGTCTTGACCAGGCGGAGATTGATGCTATCAATGTAAGCTTTACAATTTTTTTTTTTTTTTTTTTGCCACTTACCACTTTATTACTGATGTTTTTCACTTTGTTAGGTTTGTAGTCACTACTGTTTGAGTGTAATTGGTGCTAATTTTTTAAAATATCTATATCCCCACCAGCAAAAAAAAAATTGTTAATCAATGTTTAGGCTTTAGTTATTTTGAACTAGATTACATTAATAAAATACCTAGATTACATTTAAATTTTCTTCCTAACATACTTTTTAGAGGAAGTGCTTCCTGATAGCTGGTATAATTTATGATTCAAAACTGGTTTAGTTCCAGTTTCTATTGTAATCAGAAATGTAAGGACCAAAAAACCTCAGGCTAAGTACAAAACAATTTTGTACTTGAAGTTTTCTTGGCTCAAGAGCTACACTTAAGGCTATATTTAAGCTGTCGGATATTTTGTTTACATAGTATTTTTTTCATAAGCGTTTTCCGATTCGAGTGGAGATATAGGCCTACCCCTTGTTAACAGCAAAATGGGTTACTGTAATAATAAATATCCACTAAATAAGTGTTATGATCTCAACAACTCAATTTGACAAACTAAACTTGACATTACCTAAGTATGGCATTCCCTTCATACTGTTAAGGGTTTTGCTTGCGGCCTAGGTAGTGTGAATCACTGAGCGCACAGAGTGTTATTTGTCAAAATGATTTTCTTCTTTCTTTTGACATCTTTATTCTAACACAACCATAGATCATGACAATTGGAGTCTATTTCTATTATCCTCCAGTCATTTTGGCGGTTTTACGGTAAGAGATCTATACCCTCCACTTTTGATACTACCGTTAAAACAATAGCTCAACAGCTGAGATTTGCCAAAACATCAATTAGCTGCGACATATACATCGAGCAAAAACATTAGTGGGGGATCTTCCCCTCAAACCGCCTAAATTTTGTGAACAAAAAAGCTGTTGTAAATTTTGATTAATAGTCAAGGCTTTGACTAACAAGATTAATTTTTTGTTGCAGAGTGGTGGAGCATTTTAACCGCCTTGCGAGGCACCCACCATACCATAGTATGACAGGACTGAATTGAATTCACCTTTAAGTATTCTCCTTGATTATTTAAGTATTTTTGTTAGCTAAGTAACTATTTCAGCTACTTAAATGTAAATTATTATTGTGTTGTTAATAAAAATGTTTTTCAAAGAAATCTGTCCTTTGTTTGGTTACCAGAATGCTTTTAGGCAATGATGATTTTGAATATTGCCTTTTGGTTAGGAAAACCTGAACACTACATTCAGTTATACTCAGGTGATGTTTGATTTTAAATTGTGTGTTACAAAGGTGTTACTGAGAGTTAGGTCTGCTCCAAATAGTACATACAAGATTATCAAAATTCTGTTGTTATTGTTTGGTTATAGTGCAATAACTTACACACTGACTCGCCCAAATGCCTTATACCATATAATTATACTTCTCTGTAGGATGGTCAAAACCGAAACCGAAACTTAAAAATTGAATCCTGAATGTCAAAACCTAAAGGCGAAACCTTTTTCTTTCGAGATTCGATCACTGAGTTTTGAAATTAAAAGTTTTTGCAGTTATTTTTGAAACTGTTGACATCTTTTTGTGTCATTATTAGTGTTTTAAACATTGTTTCCTCACAAACTCGTAGAAATATTGGTTGTTTATAAAAATTATGTTGTATTGGGTTTCAAAATTATCAGTCACATATTTATGTTAATTTTCCAAAAAATGAAAATTTTCCAAAGTTTTGATGGATTTGAGATTTGGTGATGACACATCACTACTATTCTGTACATAGATCACGTCACATATCAGAAGTTCTGGTGACAGAAAGTTGAGATTTTTGAACAACAAAAATTTAGAAAAATTTAATATTTCTTACAAAACAACAATTTTTCTTTTCTTACAATTTGCTTGATATCCTCACTAGTTGTATTCGCAAAACTAAAAAATTTACCATCGGGTGGGTGACTATTCTCAGTTTGAGATTTTCTTAATAAATTAAACAACTTAATATGGTTATTCAAATATACAATGTTGGTCACTGTTTGTTAATTAAATAAAGTACACTGTAAAAGAATATACAACCAACAAAATGTGGAAATGAATTTAATTAGGGTAACTGGTGACAGAAAGTTAAGATTTTTTAACAAAAAAAATGTAGAAAAATGGAATATTTCAAACAAAAAACATTGAGATGAAACTTTTTGTTTTACAATTAATTTTGCTTGATATCGTTACTAGTTGTGTTCGCAAAACTACTAAATTTACCATCGGGTGGGTGACTATTCTCATTTTGAGATTTTCTTAATAAATTAAACAACTTAATATGGTTATTTAAATATACATTGTTGGTCACTGTTAGTTAATTAAATAAAGTAGGCCTACACTGTAAAAGAATATACAACCAACAAAATGTAAATCTTTTTTACTATCAAATATCCAATATATTGTACAATTACAATTTTAAACTTGAACCGAGCAAAAAAAACTAGACATTAGGCCTTCTTGATAATATGCGTTATTAGTGCATTCAGTTAAAATTATAGACCCAAGTTCCAACAGGAATTTTAGATTTCCAACATGGAATTAAAATACTTTAATATCCTAACCCTAATCTTCTGATGCCAGGAAATAAGAAATAATTGAAAAAGTATCTAAAATATTAAGGAAACTAAAAATTAAAAAACATGAAATATGAGTCATTTAAAATTTACAATTGTCAATAAGTGTTGAAGCTGAGTGGAATATGAGATTTATGGAAGCGAGAATGGCATAATCACTCCAAGAGGAAGACACGATTGTGGCTGTATTGTGGGTTGATTGGCCGTCCTCAGTGTGCAAACGACTCAAGTGACTAGAAGTGACAAGTGTAAAAGATCACTTGGTGGTTTTGCACCACAAACACAAATGCAACTTCTCAACATTCTGTTGTTTCTGTTCCTAGGTAAGTGATTATGTTGGATTTTTTGAGAATTCTAACTCCGTTATTTTTTAGTTATTTAAAATATAAGGGAGATGTGGACTAATATAAAGATAATTTATTAAATTACATCCTTCTTGCTCTAACACAAGCAAGCTGCTAAACACAAACGATAACAATTAATAAACAACAATTTAGGCTAAACCAAAAATTTTTTTTGAATCAGTTGTTGAAATACTAAATGGTTGTATATAACTGTGTGTGTAATATTGTAAACTCATCAAAAAGCTATTGAACTTTGACCATAGATTTGTTTATTAAGTAGAATATTTGTCGGAACATAAAATTGATCAGAACTAATTTATTGCTAATTGATATGAGATTTATCTTAATTGTTGACCTTAGAACTTAAGAATGTTCTATAATCTATTGTGTAGCTAGTTTTAGAGTTTTTTTTTTTTTTTTATAATGATATTCCTCCTTTTTAACTTCTCCACCTACTCCATAGTATACGGAGAAAGTATTGTTTTTGTAAAGATTTTCTAATTTAAAAAATATGGCAACATTTAAATAAAACTAATTTAAATAAAAAAATAAGGAAAATTATATCGTCTACGGTATAAGTTGGGTAGAGCAACTAGTAATAATTATTTATTGAGTTTATTCTAAAAGCCAGGCTTTCAGAGTAGTTACTCAGAACTATTGTTTTCATCACTTCCTTAAGAAAGTAGCTTTTTTCAACGGCAGCTGATATCAAAGAAGATAATCGTGACCCAAGCTCTAATTTAGAGCAAGATCTGCTGATTTTTCGATCAGTTCTACATTGGCCCACTTGCACGCTATAGCCTACTCCACAAAATTTGGGCGGTTTGAGGGGAAGTGATTTCATCCCCTCCACTTCACCCAAACTATTTTTTTTTTTTTTTAAAAGGTTGGCGGCCTCTTTTAACCTTGCATTTGCCCGTCCACATAGACTACAGATCTGTGCGTGGAACGTATCCAGCAAAGCAAGGGGTGAGCCGGTACATTACAAAGGTGAACTGTACTGATAAAAGTTAGTGGCAGTGACCAGGATCCGAACCCACGACACTACTGCCTTGGGCCCGAAGTCCGCGACGCTACCGACTGAGCCACCGACTCACCAAAGTAGTCTCCAAGTAGATACCAAGTAGACTCACCAAAGTATGAAACAACATCCGACAACTGATCAGTTGATTAGACACTAAGTTGAAACAAGTTGTTGGGAGACCCACAAAACTATCCCGTTAAACCCCCTAAATTCTGTGAACGGACTGAGTGTTTCTTTCCATAATTCAAATCACCTGTTTTTACTGTTCAACAATCTAAATTTTAAACAGAATTTAATAATATCGGTAAGTATTGACTATTGATGATAGACTTCCCATCTATTGACCACCAATTTATGTCGCTATTTATTTATTAAAAAAGAACATAGTTGTATGAACTAGTTATAGAATGTGCTAGTCTCTAAAATTTCATATTTTATATTATTTTTTGTTGCTGACCAAGTTGATGGGGCATAACAGTTGCTATAGCTCACAATAATAAGTCATTCCATTAGTATGACATGGTAAACAAGTTTGTGTATTACACAGAAAAGAGTAATTTAGATCCTGTCAATGGCTTACATCCACTATGACGATCATGATTTTTAAAATGGCAACAACTTTAACATGGAGATGGAATGTCTAGTTGTATTAATAGTCTAAGGTACGGCTAAATATCATCTTCGATAACAATGATCCTGGGAGTAAGAGTTAAAATGAAAAATTGGAACATTTGGAATATTACTCTGAACCAAAACACCCCTTACATCCATAGTCACTGTTCGTAATAGTGTATAATCCCCTGGATGGTTGTCAATTACATTTTAATGGGTTATTTCAACAAAACTTGGAATACGAATTCAGTTGACCCTCTAGGTTTGGTCTACATCAATGGAGAACAAGCAGCCTTATCACAGACGGATACTTGCGATGAAACACCGAAAACTAACACAGGTAAGCTATGGTTATACTACCTCATGATGTGCTTCTTACAGGCCTATAAGAGCACTACTGACATTTGTATAAGTACTGTAAGTAGGCTTCTTATCATTGTATAAATTCTTAAGCTGTTTTGATGGGTTTCATGTCCATTTAGGGCCGGTTTCCGAGCTCGGGATTTAGCTAAGTTCTAGACTTTAACTGTCTTTAGACTCTGGAGTTAACAAAATGACTTTCCAAGTCAGGGTTAGCAAAGTCCAGAACTTAATACTCTGGAGTTTAAAATTTCGTCTCTTTCTGAGTCAAGGACTTAGCAAAATTCGTTAAGTGTAGGATCCAAAACAGTAAACATTTTAGATCCTTGCCGAGGGCAGGATTAAGGTATGCTGAGAGTGCTTTTTATTCCTCCCTCTTTATATAATAATGCAGAAATTATTGTTTTTGTCACAATTCTCAAGTTTGAGTTTTTGTTAGAAATATATGTTTTTAGTCCCCAAAAACCCAAATTAGTTTGATCAATGTCCATGTAACAAGGTAAAATACTCTCTACAGATGCATTTTTTTACCAGTTGTAACACATAATAAGGCTCCTCCAAACTCTATGGTTATTGTGTCACTTAATTATTTCCACAACACTCTTAAGCCGGAATGGGCATACGGGAGGGACGATGGCTAAAGGTGTGGTGACGTCATATCTATAGTGGCTAATGTCTTCTCTTGAGGCAACACGATTACCGTAACGAGACGATGTGATCCCAGCGGCGTTTGTGGCATAGTTGATAGCGCATCGGAATAGTACTCAAGAGGTCTCGAGTTCAAAACACGTCTGGGACATTAACTTTTTGTCAAATATTTTGCTTTATTTGATTTTTATCTTATAACTTTTTTATATTATCAGCAAGTTTGGTTGGTTAGGTTAGGTTATGACAGTTTAATTTTATAATACAAAATTTTAAAATTTATTTTACAGTTAAAAATTATAAGTAAATATTAATTTCATTTTTATCTTATGTAGGCCTATTTTTTATATTATCAGCAAGTTTGGTTAATTAGGTTAGGTTATGACAAACTAAAACAAAAACAAATCCAACAGCTGATATATCTTCAATATGTTAAATGTGATAAAATGATAAACCTACATCCCTTTAATTGTGGTTCCTGTCCTTATGAGAAGATTTTTGAAAAAAATTATTTTTCGAGGAGGTTTAACATCAAGACCTTTCATTCAAGTATACGTTTGATAGGTTTACGGCT